ATTAGGTTGTCTTTAAAATATGTAGTCTATTTCTTCATCTCATTATTCTAAATTTAATCTTCGGAATACTGAAAGTTGATATCTTTGAAAAATATTTAATATCTTAAATATTTATTTTCATAAAACTGAGTTTAATATTGTACCTTTGTTTCTTAGTGGTCACACCATAAATTAAAATTATATAATTTTTATTTCTGTATTCGTTGTAGAAAATATTTTTCACTTCCACTTAGAATGCAGTCACAAGAAGACTTCATTAGTACACTAACACAAAGAACACATAGATAATGTATAAAGTATCATCTTTCAAAGCCCATTAGAGAGTTGAGTTTGTGAAGACACAATGGACTAAAATGCATTATTCGTAGAACAGTGAGAAGGATGTAGTTATAGACGTTAACAAAAGAAAACATTATAGACGTTAACAAAAGAAAACAGGTTAACTTCTAACAGATATTTAAAGACAAAGTATAGGCTGATATGGCTGTTTAAAATTACTGGATGATCAGATCAAATAAGGAGAATCTATAAAATTTGGCAATCCTTTTTCATAGGCCTTCATCATATATACTCAAGAAAGTTTTGGGACAGAACACAAGTGTAAAAAAGAAAAAAAAAAGAGAACTTCCCTCAGGGGCACAGATACCACAAACATGAGATAAGGGCAGGAGTGCTGAGAAAGATCTGCTTCCTCTGTGAGGGACAGGTGCTTTGGACCTGTTGAAGCCCAAGCACTCTGGGCTTTAGACTGATTATCAGACAGCAGCTACCTGGGCAGAAGCAGGGGAGCTGAAAGAACCCTTTGTGGGGTCCAAGGTAGGAGAGCCTGCTGAAGTCTGATAGCAGGACAAGAAAATCTCCAGATACTCAGATATGTAGGAAGATCTGATCTTATACTCAAATCACTTGAAGGCTATATTAAAATCTAACAACAATGCTCACATCATTTCAACTACAAATTTGATTGACTCAGTCTCTAAAATAATGACATGCACTTTCCCAGACATCAATTAATATTTACTTTAGTAATCACTGTTCTTCTATACACAATGTTTGGAATTGAGCAAAATGTTATCAGACACATGAATAAACAAAAAAATGTGACCCATTGTCAATTAGGAAAGAAAAAGTTAACAGAGCTAGACTTAAGTATGGCCCAGATGTTTAAATCATCTGATGGGTTTTAGCATAACTATAAGTGAAAAAGTCAAGTGAAAAATATGTACAACTTGTATAAACAAATATGAAATTCCCATGGAGTACTATGTGAACAATATTAAAAGCAGCCAAATGCTAGAAATAAAAATTTCTGTACACAATAAAGCAGTAGGTCAAAAGTATTTTAATGGGATTATTCACAGACTGAATCTAGCAGAATACAGTATAAAAGTGAGAGAGGTAATTAGCCATTATCTAAACAGAAGCACACACACACACACACACAGTGTTCATTATCTGTAGAATACCATCAAACAATCTAACATACATGTCAAGAGAGACCAAGAAGAGAGAGAGAGTAGAGCAGAGGAAATGTCTGAAGGGGTAATGAATGGCTAAGAATTTTCCAGTTGAAGAAAATATCAACTCAAAGATACCAGAAGTCAAGCCAGTGAAGCTCCATTAGGATAAATGCATTTTATCAACTGAAAAGCAAATACAAAAGAAATCTTGAAGCAGTCACAGAAAAGGGACATATCAAGTACAGGGAATAATGATTAAGGCAATTACTGACTTCTTATCAGAAACAATGCAGAAAAGACAACAATATTTTTAAAGTGTTCAAAGTAAAATGAAAAGCAATTTGGAAATATCACAAAGATGAAAGTAAAGACATTTTCTGATAGAAAAAAATGTAAAGAACTTTTGAGTCTAACAACCTGAACAATTAGAAATGCTGTAAGTTTCTTATGAGTGAAAATTATACCAGATAAAAAACAGTTTTACAGAAAGGAATGAGGAACCCATATATAATAAATATATTAGAAAATAAAAAGGAATTTTGAGGCACCTTTCAGGAAACAGAATAGAAAGCAATTTTCTAAGCCTGAAAAAGTATCTAAGATGGCATATTCAAAGCAGTGAAAATAAACAAAAACAAAAATTGTCAATCAAGAATATCATATCCAAGAAAATAGATGTTAAAACCAAAAGCAAAATGAACTCCCAGATAAACAACTACTGAGAGATACTGTTACTAATAGACTTATCTTACAAAAATTATTAAAGGAAGTTCTTCAGGTTCAAAGTAGTTGATCCCAAACAGTAATTTGAATAAACTCCCCCAAAATAATGAGCGTTGGTAAAGGTAATTTTCTAATTATAAAAGATAGTATTCATACTTATTTTTTCTTCTGTCTTCTCTTAACTTATTTAAAAGTAATTGTAGAAAACGATACATGCATGTATATATGTTCACACATACTTTGTGTATTTATATGTGTGTGTATGTAATTATGCTATTGGATCTATAATAATATGTAATGTATTTGATACTAGCTGCACAGGGGACAGGTAGGAGCAAAGCTGTAAAAAAATGACATATAGTTTGTATATTTGTCTGCTCAAAATCTCATATTGAGATTTGATCCCCAGTTTTGGAGGTGGGACCTAATAGGAGGAGTCTGAGTCATGGGCGTGAATTCCACATGAACGGCTTTGTGCCTTTCTTCCAAAAATGAATAAGTTCTTGTTTTATTAGTTCAGGTAAGAACTCAAGAACTGATTGCTACAAAGAGCCTGACACCTTGCTCCTCCCTTTGCTGCTCCCTCTCTCACTATATGACAAGCCACTTTGCTTTCACCATGCATAAAAGCCTTCTGAAGCCCTCACAAGAAGCAGATGCTGGTGCTATGCTTCTTGTATAGCCTGCAGAACTGTGAGCCAAATATATCTCTTTTTTTTGAAAAACACCCAGCCTCATATATTTCTTTATAGCGATGCAAAATCGACTAAGACAGATGATAACTAAAATCAACATGAACAAATTAGGAGGACCAGAAATAGTAAGTATATAGGATAATATAACAAACAAATTAACAAAGGATAATATAAGCAAACATGTATTATTTTAATAGGCAAACAATTATAGGAAGTGATAATTTTAACATAAGATAATTGGATTTGTGACATATATAGATGTAATACACACACACACACACACACACATTTCACTGAATATGAAAGTGTTTCTTCTGTATAGCTCTATTTCATCTTCCTCTTTTGTGTTATTATAGTAATATATATATTACAATGTATCACTATATATTAATAGCATATATTATATATTATGGTAATATATACTATATTACTTTATATTATAGCATATATAATAAAATATACTATATATTTTATATATGCTATTATAGCATATTTTCTTATATGCTATATAATAGCATCTAATAAAATCTACGCTATTAATATATAGTAATATAGTAATATATATTACTATAATAGCATATAACATATACTATTAATATATAGTGATATATATTACTATACTAGTGCAAAAGAGGAAGATGAAATAGAGCTGTCTAGGAGAAATACTTTCATATTCATGAAATTAAGCTAATAAACTATAAAACCTATTTTGATAAATTCAAATGTATCTGGTAAGCCCTAAAGTATTCATTAAGTATGTATGTGTGTGACTATACACATATACAGTGAATATGAACTTCCCGTCATTTTATGTTTAGAGAGCAGGATTATACACACAAACATACACACAGTGAGTATCTGCCTATAAACTGCCAACAGAAAACATACTCCAGATTAAAAGACTCAAATTCAATGAAAGTAAAAGAATTGGAAAAGCTGTATAATGGAAACAGAAACTTAAGGAAAGCATCAGTGGCTATGATTAATATCAGAAGTACCCAATTTAAAATTTATCTGCTACCTACCCATTCCTCTTTTCTGTTGTTTCTCTCTAGCATTCATCACCATATGACTTACTATATATTTTAATTGTGTTTTGGCATCTATCCTATAATATAAGCTCCTTGAAGGCAGGTTGTGTTGTTGTTGTTGTTTTGTCTATTTTGTTCACTGCTGCTCAGCTATACATACAGCATCAAGAACAGGTTCTGGCACACAGTGAGGACTCAATAAATGCGTGTTGAACAAATGAGCACTATGGGCCCTGATCTAGGTGCTAGAGATAGAACAGTGAATAAAACAGTTTTTACCTTCATGGAACTTACTTTCTAGTGGATATTTTAAAATGAGAAGCATATTTTAATTGAGCTACATAATAAGCATACATAAGTAATTAATGAAATAATTGCAATTAGTATTCCTTTTTCAGAGCCAAACCAAATTTAAGCCATTTGTTTATTTTAATGTGGCTAATTTCTAACAGTTTCATTATTATCATACTTTTCCATTCTCTTCAGAATTAATTAATTAAGTGGGTATATATCCACTTACTCTTAATTTTTCCTGATCAACTTTAGAAAATATAAGAAAAGAAAAATGCTGAAAGATCAAAAATATCTTTAAAAATCTGTTTCAAAGAAATTCAAACCAGGTGAGATTTTTCCCACAAGTAAAGGGTTCTAGTAGTAACATTTGGATGCTTAATTTAAGATTTATGATCAATGTGGCTTTTCAGAAATGTAAAACTATAGTACCTATATAATCGAATGAAATGGGTCATAAATAACATGCTATAAATGCTATTTGCTCCAAAATAGACTTCTCAGTGATTTTGGGGCAGTAAATCTCACACAAAACTCAAATAAATCCAGGAGGCCTCATTTTGCTTTCCATTCTAGATTGATTTAGAAATGATACTTCTTTTTCTATAGCTTTAACACATTTAAATATGTAAGTTCCATGGAATTTTCTCTACTACCAAAATATTAGAATTAAAAAATATTTTTTAGAAAGAAAGCCTTTCAAGGTAGATAATAACATTTTTAAAACCTCCAAATTTTTGTTTTTGAGAAAAGAATTCACTTTGAAAACATGCACAGATTAAGCAGACAAATAAACTTACCTGTCTTTGCATCTTTCCAGTCATCTGAAAGAATAGTCTTGGTCTGAATAGTGTATTTAGAGATAGGACTATGATTGTCTGAACCCCGGCTCCAAGTCAGTGCTACGGAAGTGGCTCTAATGTCTTCTATTCTCAGACCACCTGGAGGGCCTGGAGGGCCTGAAATGAAAATTTGGGCAACGAATCAGTGAATCCTAACAAATGAGTTAAACACCCAGTAGAATACAAAAATGTCTTCTTAAAATTAATCTAAAGAACATTTGTACAATATAATCAGTATAGCTGCATTTCTTTTAAATATAGATTATAAGAAGTGATATCATTTGTGGTTTTCACTGAATGATTTCATGCATCTCTTTTTAAGGAAAGAGATAAATGCCATCATTTTAAAATGACATTGTTATGCAGGTATGTGATAATCTCCAACTCATTATATGCAATTGGCACCACGGGGACCTAATACAGATTGTCGCATAGTGTGATTTAATGAATTCTTGCTGAATGCATGAATCAGGGATGGCACAATTTAGTTTAGATATGGGAAAAGTTGGTCTCCTGTCATTCTGCCTGTCTTTTTTTTTTTGAGTTAGGGTCTCACTCTGTCCCCCAGGCTGGAGTGCACTGGAGTGATCATGGCTCACTGCAGCCCCCACCTGCCTTCCTAGCTCAGGGGATCGTCCCAGCTCAGCTGCCCAAGTAGCTGGGACTATAAGCACTCCACAACACCCAGCTAATCTGTGTGTGTGTGTGTGTGTGTGTGTGTGTGTGTGTGTGTACTTTTTTGCAGAGACTGGGTTTCACCGTGTTGTCCAGACTGGTCTCCAAGTTCTGGCCTCAAGTGATCTGCATGCCTAGGCCTCCCAAAATGTTGGCCCTACAAGTATGAACCACCACACTGGCCCACATACTTTCTTGTAACTCTTAATGTTTTAGGTAATTTATTTACTTGAAGTAGAAATTTCTGGGAATCATTTCATATATCATTTTGCATAATACATTTCATGTTAATTATAGTCATAAGAATATTAAAAAATGTTTCTACTTATATAAAAACAATTGTGAATTCAGAAATATACCAGGAATGCTCTTAAAAACCTCAAAATATATTGAAGAGTCAGAAAAATTGTTATTGAAGAACATAAAACAATGTTAAAAATAGGTTTTCATATTTGCTTCATAACTCAGTACTAATACTATCCCTTTGTCCTCTCAATGGAGCACTGTGTTGGAGGATAGAGATTAAAAGATAAATGAGACACAACTTTTTGGGCTTTAAAGAGCTCTTTGTCTTCAAATAAGACAAATAAAAATAAGAAAAAGAATATCCTTTAGTGAAGTGGCATCTATCACTTAAAAAGCTAAGGAAGACTTTCAGTTAATAGACAGCTCTTAGTACAGACATTTCAAAATGTTTATCACTAAACATGCATATCACCTGCTTTATTTGCACCAGAAAGGAGTCTACCCCTAACTGATTTAGGCATACTGAATAATTAATTAACAATTTGATTAAGTAGCACCATCATTTTTTATAATGAATATAATACTAAAGGGGACATTTGTCTTTATCTTTGAGCTGAAATATGTACCTTTATATTTATGTATCAGTTGAGTTACTTAGCTTAGATGGCCTTTTTCTTTATACAAACTTTGGTATTTGCAGAGGTATGGCCAACAGTCCAAACCTTCACCTATTTCCTTATAGTGGACCCAAGGAAGAAAATGTGTACAGATCAACAGAAACACATCACCACTAATGTTAAAATAACACAATAATTTATATATCAGTTGAGTTACTTAGCTTAGATGGCCTTTTTCTTTATACGAACTTTGGTATTTGCAGAGGTATGGCCAACAGTCCAAACCTTCACCTATTTCCTTATAGTGGACCCAAGGAAGAAAATGTGTACAGATCAACAGAAACACATCACTACTAATGTTAAAATAACACAAGACACACACCCTATCAGTTACACTAAATTTTATTATTTGGAAATATATCACATATAAGCAAATAAACTTTTATAAATTTATAATCTATAATAGTATATTTCTTAAATAATTGAAAATAGACACAGAACACATTTGATATTCAGAAAGATTATATTTTTCATGTGTACAAAAACACATTGAAAGACAGTGCACATTCTGGATCAGAACCAAGAAGTTCATTACTTCACATAATGCAGCATCCTAAGTCAATTACTGAGTAGAATACTTTAGAGTGCTAAAATAAAAAGTTAGAGGTGAATAATCAAATAATTTTTCAGAGGAAGACAAAGCCCTGTAATGCATGCATTCAGATACTTTTTCTGAGCATAGGGGTATGGCATTCAGAAAATGTTACAGGGAATTTAAGATAAAATTACCATAGGTTAGTCATTAACCATTAAAGTATAAATCATTTCCCTGCTGTCATTCTCTGATGTTCTTGAGGTGTCAAATGAATAATATTTCACAAAGGTCAGAATAAAGCTGTACATCATTAGTGTATTTGTTGAGACATTATATGCATAATATTTCAGACATCCATTTAAGGAAAATATTGTTGAGCAAAACACTATAGTTATACTTGTCCATTGTTTTATCAGATATACATCTGGCCTATGGTAGGTTCTTTCTTAAATATTTGGTGAATACATAAATAAATTTATTATAATTGATGTTCAGGCAGTTCTGTAAACATAATTGGCATCCATGATAAAGAGTCTTCATTTCTCCAATTGTCTTGAAATACTATATTATCATAAACAGGTAGAATTGAGAAGACAAATGTAAAGGGATGGGTTGTTGTCTTCAAAACCCTGGTGTGGGAATCTTCCTTGGTTAATGGTTCTACTGATATGAAATAGATTTTTCTATCTAGTACATCTAGTAAATCCCTACAAATATCTCCCAAAAAGTACCTGAGAAAAATAATACTATTAAAGTCATCATTGTATGAAAAAGCAGGGATTTTAGAATTAAGACTTAGCTTTAAATTCTGTGCCCTGATTTATCTTGGGCAAATTTCTTAAAATCATTAAGTTTCTGTTTTCTCCTCTGTAAAATAAAAGTAATAAATATGTAAGAGTGTTTTTGGGCCAAGTGCGGTAACTCACACCTATAATCCCAGCACTGCAGAGGCCAAGGTGGGTATGTTACCTGAAGTGAGCAGTTTGAGACCAGCCTGGCCAACATAGCAAAACCCTATCTCTACTAAAAATACAAAAATAAGCTAGGATGGCAGCATACACCTGTAATCCGAGCTACTCAGGAGGCTGAAGCAGGAGAATTGCTTGAACCTGGGAGGCAGGGGTTGCAGTGAGCCAATATTGTGCCACTACACTCCAGCCTGGGTGATAGAGCACAACTCTGTCTCAAAACAAAAACAAAAACAAAAACAAAAACAAAAAACACAAAGATTACTTGTTAGTATTGAAATAATGTCCTTAAAGAATGTAATTCTCAGCCTGGTCCATAGAAAGCCCTCAGGAAACCTTAGCTATTAACAATAGTATTATTATCATTTTTTAAAAGACTTCTGGACATCTTAGCTACCTGGCAGCAATTATTAATTAGTATTTTTTCAGTCATTGTCAGGGATCTGTTTATCAGAGTATTCATTTACCATTTATTATTTAAAAGAAAGCAGGGACAGTAAACCAAAAATAAAATTCTAAGCCCCCCAACCATCTGAAAGGAACCCTTCTCCTGGCAAGGGCATTCCAAAAGTAACCTGAAAACCTAGTTCAGCCAGTGATGGGAAGGGGCAGTCAGACATGCCTCATTATATCCTCCTCCTTTTTGGAATTACTGATAGAATAGACTATTTAAGTCTGATAAGAAGCATTTACAATCTATTCTCTGAAGCTTGCTGCCTGAAGTCTTCATCTGAATGATAAAACCTTGGTCCCCAGTACCCCTTATGGTAATCCAGACATTCCTTTCTATTGATAACTCTTTCAACCAAATGCCAATCAGAAAAATCTTAAAATCTACCTATGATCTGGGAGCCCCTCACTTTGAGTTGTCCTGCCTTTCCAGATGGAACCAATATACATCTTGCATGTGTTGATTGATATCTCACGTCTCCCTAAAATATACAAAACAAAGCTGCAGCCCAGCAACCTTGGGAACATGTCATCAGGACCTCCTGAGGCTGTGTCACAGGTGCATCATGGCTTGGCAAAATAAACTTTCTACATCGATTCAGATTTGTCTCAGATACTCTTTGGTGTAAAGGACAACATAGAAAGTAAAATGTTTTCCAGTAATTTTGATATGGGTAAGGAAAAGTTGGGAATGTGAAGACACTCTGTGTGTATTAAGAAATCAGTTTTTGGGATCACGAGATCAAGAGATAGAGACCATCCTGGTTAACATGGTGAAACCCCATCTCTACTGAAAATACAAAAAAAAAAAAAAAATTAGCTGGGCATGGTGGCGCATGCCTGTAATCCCAGCTACTCAGGAGGCTGAGGCAGGAGAATTGCCTGAACCCAGGAGGCGGAGGTTGCTGTGAGCCGAGATCGCGCCATTGCACTCCAGCCTGGGTAACAAGAGCAAAACTCAGTCTCAAGAAAAGAAAGAAAAGAAAAAGAAAGAAATCTGTCTGTGGCAAAAATAGAGCTTGGAGACAAATGTGGACAGTCTGACTTTAACCCAGGGCCAGCTTGCAGAGTCTCCCAGTAGGAAGGTTTTCAAGCAGTGTGGGCTGATGTTACTTGCTTATTTATTTATTCTTTTTTTTTAGAATGGACAGAAAAGTGTTGGGGTAGAAAAAAAAATGACAAAGCTACTTGTTTCTCAGCAGAAAGGAAGGCATTTAGGAGCTGACCACCCTTCTGATTCTTTTGTCAATGAAAAAAACCCAATCATACGTAATTCTAACCCTGAGTTTCTTTTTTGTTTTTTAAAGTTTCCATTGCCATGTACTCTCAATAAATTCTTCAGAAAAGAATTGAAGCCAGGAAAAATGTAAGCAAATGACCTGATGTGTGCAGCTGATTTCACTATTACTTTACTGATATATCTTTCCAGTTTCTTAGGCTGTTCTCAGCCAGATAGCTAACTATTCCTAAGAACGATTTACCCCAAAGTTATCAAAAAAGAGAGAAATTTTTCAGCTGAAAAAAACCATTGGAATCTGACCCAATTTCAAATGCCTAGATACGTTA